CATTTCTCTGGATTGGCATCATCCTCAGGAACTGTCCTCACATGGGCACACAGATGACATCTATAGCTTTCGACTTCTACCCTGCCATCTCTATAAATGGAGCAAAAGGACAGTGACTTCAAACATAGCTCTGATTGGTCCTAGAGCAACTCTGATCGGCGGGGCTTGCATCATAAACACATCTTTCAACTAAGCTCAGGTCAGGTGGAGCCCTCTGGATTATGTGCCCTATTCTCAGAGGCAGCGAGAGTGGGGACAACGGAGGGCTCAGGATTCTGTCTGAATGAAAAAGATCTGAATGGCCTGGGAGGAAGGTCAGTTAGTTCTACAGAGTCATGCTGTCAGCCCAAAATGTGGCATTGTGGCTGATGAGATAAGTCATCCACTGATGTATTGCGTTAGCAGGCAGCAATGAGCTGTGGTTATTAACCCAGAAAGGCACCTGTGGCACATTGTGTAAGTGAAAAAGTTCCCAAAAGAGGAGGTATAAGAGGATCCAATTTTGATTTGAGGATAAAAAAAGATCCCTGAGTCTAGAGCCTTGGTTGGCAAACTGTGGCTCCTGAGCCACATGCAGCTCTTTGGCCCCTTGAGTGTGGCACTTGTACAAAGTACCATGGCCTGAGCAAGTCTATTTTGAAGAAGTGGTATTAGAAGAAGTTTAAGTTGAAAAAATTTGGCTCTCAAAAGAAATTTCTATCGTACTGTTGATATTTGGCTCTGTTGACTAATGAATTTGCCAACCACAGTCTAGGGGAAAAGCCCATTAACAGTGGTTATGTCTAGGTGGTAAGATGATGGATAACATCTTTATTTTCCTTATTAACTTTCTCTGTTCTCTGAAAAAAAGTTATACACTGAGGGTATATCTCTATTATAAACAAGAAAAAAAAAAAAACACCTTTCTATTTGGGGGAAAAGAAAACTTATCTATTGCAGAAGCCTTGGTAAGAATTGATGAGGCCAGAACTAAGAATGGTGGAGAAAGGAGGGGAGAGTTGAGAGAGTTGTGAGAAGCTAACTCTCGGGACTTGCTGGTTGATTGGCTGAGGGAGGGGCCCAGTCTGGCTCTGGGGTCTCTGCTCTTGGTGACCTGGAGGCAGGGGGTACCAACACTGTAGGCCCAGCTGCAAATAAAGACCAGCTGACATCTGTTAAAGCGAGTATTTACACTTCTTAGAGATTTTGCGGTCTTGGTGGAAAAACAGACCTTGGATATTTATGCCACTGAAAGAAAGATCCATTTGACACAATAAAATTTTTGAATTACATTTTAAGAAGACATTACTGCATGGTGTACATATAGTGTATATCTTTCGTATTCAGTAGTAGTAAGTTCTATGAGGGCAGAAATCATCTTTTGGTTGGAATCTCTGAATACCTAGCATGTAACCTGGTTGTAGAAGTGGTGCTTTAAAATGTTTGCCATTGAATGAATTATTGAAGCTAAATTAACAATAGTTTTAATAGAAGCCATCGCCATAATTTGCTCAGGAAACTCATCAAATTGATTTATAATCATTTGTAAATAGGCTCTTCCAAAGTACTTAAAATAATGTTTTCTTAATTTAAAAAAAAATGTTTGTCCTAAATTATTTTAAGACCATTGTTAATATTTAGCAAATCTCCTCTAATTTATAGATGTAAAAAAACCTGGTCCTACCTAAAGATGGCATAAATTGCTAAAGAAACTGATATATTTTCCCTGAGTCTTTTATATATATTTCTGTCTACCTTATATTATTTTCCTCCATAGAATGTTTACCACTATAATTCACAGAGCCCAGAAAATACATTATTTGGACTATAAGTCTATATATTAAAAGTGCTTTAAGGAGCTTGGGCTCTGAATCCAGCTGGTCTGGTTTTGAATCTCAGCATTGTGGTGTGTAGACATGGGTAGTTTAAGCAACTCTCTTTGTCTTTCCATCTGTACAAACAGGTTACTAGGTTTTCATGAAAATAAAATGAAATAGTCATTATAAAACACTTAGCACAGAACTCAGCACATAGACAGAACTCAAATATCAGCCTTCTTTTAAAAACCATATTTTGCTCAGCCAGTGTAGCTCAGTGCTTGAACATGGACCCATAACCAAGAGGTCATTGGTTCGATTCCAGGTCAGGGTACATGCCCAGGTTACAGGCTTGACCTCCAGGAGGGAGTGTTCAGGAGGCACCCAATCAATGATTCTGTCTCATCACTGATGTTTCTCTCTCTCTCTCTCTCTCTCTCTCTCTCTCTCTATATATATATATATATATATATATATATCCCTCCTCTTTCTAAAATCAATAAAAATACATATTTTAAAAAAGCACATATTTACTCCTGGGACAGAGTGATTTCCAAAAGTACAGATTTCCTGTGTCCCATTTGTGATGGGATTTCTTTGATTTCCCTTGAAATATGTAAATACCTTTTCTTAGAAACCGCTCAACACAGCTAAAATCCGTGTTCCCATCTTAAGGCAGAGCAAAAAGGCAAAGCATGGATCTCCACAAAAAAGGTCATTTCAGGTAGCATCAGCCTGTTCTTGGGCTTTTGATTCATCACCATGCAATACCAAGCTGCCGATCACCTCCTAGGAAGTAACCTAGGCCTGCGCTACTGTTATTTCCAAGTCAACTGTGGGGCAGGTGCAGCTGAGCAGCCCTGCTGCAGGCTCCCAGGGTCCATGCCTGGTACCTGGGAAGAAACACGGAGGGTTGAACCATTCTCATGACATGTTCCTAAGCTCTGCTGGTAGTTCTCTGTAAGTCTCGCCTTACTGGTTCTTGATCCTCAAGTTCACATCTCCAGACAAGAGAAAAGAGTTAAAGTGTTTGGATGAAAACTAAATAAAGGAGACGTAATTTTTGTAATTCATTCTTTATAGTGTCATAGTTGATATAGCAACAAATTATGGTCACAATGCAACAAAGGCCTGTCATTCCTCTCAAATTTGAGAATACATTATTTATTCGCCCTCCCTCTCACTATCAGACTATGCCCTAGAGCAGCGGTCACCAACTGGTGGTCCACGGACCACTGGTGGCCCGTGAGATCCAAAAGGTTGGCAACCACTGCCCTAGAGGGATATTTGACACAAAAATATAAAATCGTATCAGTTGTTTTTTCTTTTTTGGATTTGACGATTGTTTTATTTTTTACTACACCTGAGTGTATTTTGACATGAAATAAAACCTATTGTTTTCAATGCTAGATTGTTTCATTTAAAAAAAAAAAAAATGCCCACACAGGGATTAGGTCACTGAACTGCATGAAGCTTTGGTCACCACATAAATTTTCTGAAGATAAAAAAACATAACCTCAAAGGTGTCAGATCCTATTTCAGAGTTTTTACAATTAACCAAAGGTTTACAGAGAAATATTTGAAGCTGCCTTCTGAGTGCAAGTGGGCTCACTTCCCATCCTGGGTGCCTTCAGTCCCCTCCCCCTCCAGCTCCTCAAAAAAGACACCAGTGATGGCCTCTTGTTGGCAGTAGAATTTATTCAATAATTTACTTTTCAGCCAACTGCAGCCAATGTCCTCGCCTCTGGGCACTTGTTCAAAAACACAGAAATGAAATAACAAATTGGCAAGACCACCGCAACACCCGGTCACAACCCCATTATCTCCTCGTTCTGTCACACCCACTAGGCAAAAGCCTGGGAGACTGGATGGTGATAATGCAGTATTTATGCAGCCCATTCTGTCCCCACAGTTCAGGCTTCCCGCCAGGGCTCATTCCTTCATCTTCTGTTTCCACCTCTCTCTCTCTCTCTCTCTCTCTCTCTCTCTCTCTCTCTCTCTCTCTCTCTGGGTGTTAGAGAGAGGGCCTAGGCCTCCTCCCTCCTTCATCCTCACTCCAGGTTTTGGAGAAGGGCCCTGAGCTCATATCCCTAGGCCTTCCCTGTGCCTGCCTCGCCCATTTCAGTGTTGCCGAGCTGGTTCCCTGCCTGGAAAAGGGCTCCTGTGTCCTGAGAAAACGAGCCAGACAAAGGAATCCACTTGCTCCGTTTGTTGACCACCCACACCAGTGAAGAGGTCATGTTGAATGAATATGTGCCGGGTGGATTTTACTGGATGTCGAGGATGGCTTCACTGAAGTTATTTATAGCTGCTCTGTGCGAGTCAAAGTAAGACAGAGTGCTGGCTTCATTTAACAGTGTGGGGCCATCTCCTTGAAAACGGGGTTTCTCTGGACAGAATGGATGTCCAGGAGAGGAGGGTCTTTTTAACCAGAGGGAATTGTTTTCTGATTGTTGTCTTTTGGGGAAAATATTTTTAAAATGTAGGCACAAGAGACAAATGTCTGAAGAGGGTTAGGGGATGCATCTCTCCTTATCAAGTTGAACTAGTGAGGTTTTAGAGCTCGAATTATGAGAGAGCCAGAGGAAAATGCCTCTTCTCTTCCATAGTCTGTCCTGTAGACTAGACACTGTCTTTGGGGTGGTTCACATCTCAGTGGGCTCCACCTTTTTATTCTTCATTCCAATCATCAGTTCATACAGCCCCTTAAATTACCTCTTTCACTAGTAATTTTTAGAGGGTTGGGATGATGATGTTTGGTTTTGTCTCCAAACCCATTTGAGTGTGGGGGGCTCCCCAACAGCACCCCCAACCTTATTGAGAACCACTGATTCAGCCCTGCTCCCTACAGAGTTCTGGTTACTAGTGGTAAAGCCCGGATGAGGGCATTTCTATCAGGAGACAGTAGCCTTGTTCTGAGGAAGCAGAAAAGAGGAGAGCACACAGCTGAATGCTTTTTAGACAAATGTGTTTTCCACTAAAAAAAGCAGGATTTGGCTCAGGTTAATCCACCTTGAAGAGAATTACTCTCAGTGAAAGTTCTGCTGGGGATGTTAGGCTAGCCATCCCTCACCCCTCCCAGGGAAGAAAGAACAGGGCAAGAGGAAAACAGTTATGTGCGAGATGGCTTGTATTAAATTTGTAACGGTCGTTGCTCCTTGCTGATTAAATCCTAACCGCCCTGCTTTTTCCTTTCCACGTCAGCTCACACCCCAGACAACAGCTTCCTGGGCTTCGTGGTGGAGCAGCACCTGAACTCCAGCGACGTCCACCACATCAACGAGATCAAGAGGCAGAACCAGTCCCTCGTGTATGGCAAAGTGGACAACTTCTGGAAGGTGAGTCAGTCTGTTTCCACCTCTCTCTCTCTCTCTCTCTCTCTCTCTCTCTCTCTCTCTCTCTCTCTCTCTCTCTCTCTCTCTCTTTCTGTTTGAAAAGACTCTTGTTGGTTAATTTCACTTCACTTTGATCCAGGGAGTAATCAAGCCCAGTGCCTAGTGCTCCTAATCTGCTTAGAAGTAAAGAAGACTGTGCAGGGCTTTGTTGCTCTGAGTCTGAGTGTCTGGTAAAGGCTGTCCCAGCTCCTCTGCACAGTGCTGCCCAGCACAGCCCTTCACTCCCTGGGTGTTGGAATGACATGTTACGGCCTCTTTCATATCCTGTACTTGCTCCCAAAAGCCAGTTCCCACAGGGGCTGGGTTTCTTTCCGGAGCAAAGCATTGCACAGAGACCTTCGTCTCTGCCTTTTGCGAGATGATATGGAAAGACAGGCACTCTGTTTGCCTGAGGAGGGCAGGCTTTCGCATCCATTCGGCTGTAGTCAGCACACACATTGGTCAGCTTTCCATTAACTGGGAAAGGAAAATGCCTGCCAGGACTGACTGTGGGCGATTAGCTCAGGGAGATCTTAAACAAAACAACATCCTTGGCCACAGACTGAGCCAGGTTTTCCACAAGCGCTAGGCTGTTGGGCTTCAGAAAGCCGTTGGTGCTCCTGGATGGTTTCCAGAGCACATCTGGGCAAGGTAAGAGAGGAAAGGAATCTATTGCAGTATGACCTATCGACATGATGTACAGATCTTTTCTACGGGTGGTCTGCGAATATCATAATTACTTTTGAGGATGTGTTTGTGTGGGAGGAAAAAGACTCCCAAGAGTTCAAAACCTGCTTCTTTCTAAACATAAAAGGTAATTGCTTTCTGAATGGTCAGGAACTTTGGTGTCATATGTTCAGGTCTTGCTCATTGAGGAAGTTAGAAGTCAGCCCACTGAGGCAGCACATGTGATGGACAGGGTCTGGGGTTTTCTGGCCTGTGTTCAGAAAAGGTAAAGCACTGTGATCCGCCTTCAGTTCTAAAATGCTAACTGCAGAAGAGATGATGAAATCGGCCCATTTCCATGGAAGCAGATTTAATTCCAGATAATAATTCTCTTTGCTAAATAGGCTAGGATTCTGTCTTCCTGTAGTTCTGAGATTCTCCCCCCAGGGCAGTTTCACCCTAAGAGACATGTGGTAGGTCTGACTGTGAGGGAAGTACTACTGCCATCTAGTGGACGAAGGTCAAAGATGCTGCTAAACATCTGGCAGGACACAGGACTATCCACAATAGGGAATATGTGGCACAAAATATCAGTGATGTTGAGTGAGATGCTGAAGCCCGGGCTGGTAAATAAGATTTTATTCCTACATATGTTACTCCACATTTTCTCCTCTCAAGTAAAATAAAATCAGGCTAGACTATAATGGCTACTTATACTCTCTCTACAGGTTATCTGCAGTCTTCCCATGAATTTGTACATCTTTGTATCAAAATTTGCTACGTTAACAGAGCATCACTCAACTGACTTTCAGCACAACTTGTGCTAAAAAGTACATGTTGAACCCTGCCTGGTGTAGCTCAGTGGTTAGAGTTTGTCCTGTATACCTCAGGGTCATGGGTTCGATTCCTAGTCAAGGACACATACCTTGGTTGCAGGCTCATCCCTGCCCCTGGTTGGGGGAGGGGAGAACATGTGGGAGGCAACCAATCAATGTGTCTCTCTCACATCAATGTTTCTCTCTACCCTCTGTCTCTCTTCCCCTCCCATTCTCTTGGAAAAAATATCCTTAGGTGAGGATTAACAAAAAAAATAAGGATACATTGAGTGTTCCCATTTCTAAGCTTGATTGTGAAATGAATGGATTGTGGCACTCGTTTGGGGAGATGTGGGCTCTTTAAAAAGTGCAAGTGGCTTCTTCCCTCAGCACCTGCCCAAAGAAAATAGTTTGCATGCCTCAGTGAACTTGACCTTCACATTGTATCACTTTCCTTTTGAAACCAAGTGCAGCTTTCTCCTGGGTGCTTCTGGCTGCTTTATGGATTTTCCTAGAAAACGAAAATAATAAATTAGTTATGAATGTTTTGAGGTCTCCTTTTTTTGGATAAGATAAGGCTGCCCTTCTCTGCCCCAACCCTAGTTCTCTAGGGCCACCCTGGTTCACACACATGCTCTCAACCAATTACCCCTTCTCCTCATCCCTATCACAGCATCCTCTTCCTCTCATGTGATTTTAATCCTTTTGTGATCACATATTTACCTTTTTCTGTCAGCCCCTCTTAATTGCTAGACTGTAAGCTCTTTGAGGGAAGAAATCATTGATTTTGCTTTACCCAACATAACAGGTGCCAGTCTCCTTTTGATTTTATTAAATGTGATTTACCTGACGATCCCGGGATATGACTTGGAATGTGTTTTATTTTAGGTATTGCCCTGTGCTCACTAGTCCCAGGGACACAGAAGAGAGGGACTGGAGGGAAAGGATTGGAGCCATTATTGTGCAGATTTTGCAGACCCATAGAGGTTTTCAGAGCCTGTGGCAACATTAGCAGCAAGGGGCCTGGGAAGAAAACCCAGGCTCTGGGCCAGCTCTGCATGATTTCTGGGCGGGCACCTCTGGAATCTGTATCCTCACTTGTATGCATGAAGGATTGGTAAATAGGAATGAATTATTGCACAATAACACAGCGGACCTCAAAATAATTATGCTGAGTGTAAGAGCAAAATATAAAAAAGAGTATGATTCTGGGTATATAAAACTCTCAAAAAATTCAAACCAATGCATAATGACAGAAGGCAGGTGGGTGGTTGCCTGGGACAGGGTGAGCGAGGTGGGATGCTCACTATCTAATTGTGGGAATGGCTTTAGGACATGTCCATATATGCACACTTACAAAATTGTATGTTTTAAATATGGGCAGTTTATTATGTGCCAGTTAAACCTCAACAGTGCTGTTAATATACATTAAAGTTGGCAAGACATGATCTTAGGGGCCAAATTTGGCCTGTGGCCTACATGCTAAAAATGGCTTTTCCATTTTGAAAGTCATGAAAAAACAACCACCAGAATCTAAAACAAAAGAATATGTGGCAGACTTATGTGTTCCCACAAAGTCTAAAATATTTGACATCTATCCCTTTACAAAAAGTTTGCCAGCCCCTGGATGAGATCATTATTTACCTATGTTCCCTGGAGTCCTGGCCAAGGTCCAGCTACTGTGGGAAGTCAGGGGGCCACCCAGTATGGATCCCACCAACCATAGTAGCTCTGAGTTATCTCTGGTGTAGATTCGGATGTCCAGTCTGAGTTCACTAGAAAAGGTGTTTAACTGCTTTAACCATCTAAAAATAAATCTTGAAAGTCTCCAGACTAGGTAACCTCTGAGCCTGAGAAAGAATTCCATTCTAAAAACTATGTAATTAGCTCATTCACTAATTTGGTTGACTTGGGCTTAGTTTAAATTAATGCAAAATTGGAAAGAGGAGTAGTTTGGAGAAATGCCATTTTATTTCCTCATAGGCATTATTGATTTTGAAATCAATAATGTCTTAGTTTTATATTGTCTTAATAACCCCCCAAAGACCTTTGTAATCTGAGGGCTCCCAGACAGCTGGAGGGTGCAGGCGGGCTAGGGAACACCCCCAACACCTATGCCCAAATTTTGTAACTGGGCCTCTAGTTAAAAAATGTACTGAAATCCTTGAAAAGAACACCTCTTGATAAGTAGGTAAATCTTGTTGTCCTGCTTATTCTTTAATCTGCTTGGCCAGACTTTCCTTTCCAGATAATGTATAGATCAACCAAATTTAAACTCACCATAAGTGAAATTGGCATACATTCTGAAAAAATGAAATTGGAGTTCGTTTTGTTGAATTTGCTGGGAAAGCAGTATGATTATAGCTAATGGTTCTGGTTCCAACCAGGGGAGCATTTAGATCCCTATATCTCCCCCAGTTTATTTCCTTTGGAGGAAAGTCAATCAGTAAGAGTGACTTTGGCTTAGTAAGAGTGTCAGCCCTTGGACTGAAGGGTCCTGGGTTCCACTCCACTCAAGGGCACATACTTCAGTTTCAGGCTCTATCCTTGGCCCTGGTCGGGGCACGTGTGGGAGGCGACCAATCAATCTGTCTCTCTCATATTGATGTTTCTCTCTTTCTGTCTCTCCCTCTCCCTTCCACTCTCTCTAAAAAAGCAATGGAAAAAATATCCTTGGGTGAGGATTAACAACAACAAAAAGAAAGAAAAGACCTTGTCATGATCTCTAGAGATCACGATTGTCAGTGGCAGAAGCACATAGCTTCTGCCCGGGGAGGAGTCAGAGGTGCCTGTGGAGAGCTGAGCCACTCCAGGGCAGCCTGCACCAGTCCTGGTCACCTGTGCATGGCTTTTGTCTGGCTCAATTCCTGGCACATGCTCAAGTGCAGTCACATTGCAGAGCTTTCCCCCAGATTCAAGTGTCCATTTCCTGGGTGGGGCAACAGAGAAGAGAAACCAAATGCAAAGAGAAACATCAGAAATGAATCATTGGCTTTGAAAATTCCAAAGGCTATAGTCCAGAGGACTTAAGGATTTCCCAAAAATAGTGTTGGTTGCATGCTGACTATCATCTAACCTTGTGTGGAGGCAGCATAAGCACGTCAGTGTTTGATGAGCAAATATGTACAGGAATGAACACTGAGCTTAAGAGAATCTTTGGGCAGCCCTTTTATCTGTCTCATCAGCCTAGTGGACTAGTCCTTGTTTCAGCAAGTTTTCTTCAGTCATCTTAAACCTATGGTGTTTACTTGTCCATAGAAGAAAGAACACTTTCTCCTTGTCGTACGGCAGGTCCTTGAATAAGGCTGTTCATTCAACATCCTTTTGCTATGATCTTGATAAAAGAAAAATAATTCTAAGAGCCACTGTCTGTATAGGGTTTGAGTGTTCTCCCATGTCCACTTGTTTTTTTCAAGTTCTTCAGTGTCCTCCCACACTCCAAAGATTGCACATCAGGTGAATTGGTGTGCCCACGTCCCGCCG